TGGCGAAAGCCACTAAGTTATTGCGACGAGGCAACTGCCAGGGTTACCTGGTAAGCTTAGTTGAGGATTCTCAGAAAGCGCGGACACCTCATGATGTTCCTATTGTTCGCGAGTTTGTGGACGTATTCCCAGACGAGCTTCCAGGAGGACCGCCCAATCGTCAGGTGGAGTTTTCTATCGATCTTATCCCAGGGGCCGGTCCAGTATCCAAAGCCCCATATCGCATGGCGCCTAAAGAGTTACAGGAGCTTAAGACTCAGATTCAGGAGCTATTACGACTCGGTTTTATCAGACCGAGTGTGTCACCGTGGGGAGCACCCGTTCTCTTTGTCAAAAATAAGGACGGATCTATGCGTATGTGTATCGACTACCGGGATCTCAACCGGTTGACGATCAAGAATAAGTACCCGCTTCCCAGGATCGACGACTTATTTGATCAGTTGAGGGGAGCCTGTGTATTTTCGAAGATTGATATACGATCAGGCTACCACCAGCTGAAGATTAAGGAGTCAGACATCGCTAAGACCGCTTTCAGGACTCGTTACGGCCATTACGAGTTTGTGGTCATGCCTTTCGGTCTCAGCAATGCGCCAGCAGTCTTTATGGACCTCATGAACCGTATCTTTCATCCATACCTCGATCAGTTTGTTATTTTCTTTATTGACAATATTCTCATCTATTCGAAGGGTCAGAAGGAGCATGAGGAGCATCTGAGGGTGGTTCTCGAAACCCTCAGACGAGAGAAGTTGTACGCTAAATTCTCCAAATGTGAGTTCTGGCTTCAGCGAGTATCCTTTCTGGGTCATGTTATTACCCAGGCAGGCATCGAGGTGGATCCTTCTAAAGTTTCAGCCGTGCAGAACTGGTCGACACCGAGGAGTCCGTCCGAGGTTCGCAGTTTTCTCGGATTAGCTGGTTACTATCGCAGGTTTATCGAGGGCTTCTCTAAGATTGCCCTCCCTCTTTCCCAGCTGACGAGGAAGTCTGTGAAGTTCGAATGGACTGACAGATGTGAGGCGAGCTTTCAGGAGCTCAAGAGGAGATTGACTACAGCACCGGTGTTGACTATCCCCGATCCTTCTCGGAGTTTCACTATCTTCAGCGATGCTTCGAGACAGGGCTTGGGATGTGTCCTTATGCAGGACGGACGGGTCGTTGCGTATGCTTCACGTCAGCTTAAGCCTCATGAGCAGAACTATCCTACGCACAACTTGGAGCTAGCAGCAGTCGTTCACGCCCTGAAGATCTGGCGTCATTATCTTTACGGTGGACGCTGCGAGATATTCACAGACCATAAGAGCCTGCAGTACATCTTCACGCAGAAGGAGCTTAATATGAGGCAGCGCCGTTGGCTCGAATTGGTCAAGGATTATGATTGTTCTATCCAGTACCATCCGGGGAAGGCGAACGTCGTCGCAGATGCCCTAAGCCGAAAGGTGAAGGGTGACTTGACGTACGTCATTACGCAGCAGAGTCCATTAATTCACGAGTTTGCCCAGATGCAGCTTCAGGCGATCGATGCACTCCCCGTAGATGTCTTGGGGAGTAGCGGTGCCAGTGTCAGTGCTATGCAGCTTCAGCCGACACTGAGAGAGAGGATCCGGCGAGAGTAGGCTTCTGACGAATTTGTTCGTGTCATGGAGGCCAAGGTTCGCGCCGGAGGTGTCCATGATTTTCAGCTAGGCGCCGATGGTGCCTTGAAGTTCAGAGGCAGGATCGTGGTCCCGAAGGTCGAGGCATTGCGGAAGGAGATTCTATCAGAGGTACATACCGCACCTTATTTGGCCCATCCCGGAAGCAAGAAGATGTATCACGACCTGAAAGGGTCGTTCTGGTGGAGAGGCATGAAAAAGGACGTCGCCGAGTTCGTTAGGAGGTGTCTTACCTGTCAGCAAGTCAAGGCCGAGCATCAGAGTCCGATTGGCCTCCTACAGCCACTGCCGATTCCGAGGTGGAAGTGGGAGGAAGTTACTATGGATTTCGTTACGGGATTGCCAAGGTCATCTGAACATCACGACGCTATCTGGGTCGTGGTCGACAGATTGACTAAAGTGGCGCATTTCTTACCCGTTTCGATGTCTCTGGACAAGTTGGCTGAGATATATACCCGTGGGATCATCCGACTCCACGGAGTGCCCGTCACGATTGTATCAGACAGAGATCCCAGATTCGTCAACCGATTCTGGAATAGCTTACATGAGGCGATGGGCACGAAGCTTGAGTTCAGTTCAGCCTACCATCCGGAGACAGATGGTCAGTCAGAGCGGACGATTCAGACACTCGAGGATATGCTTCGCGCCTTGGTTGTTGACAGGGGTGCCAAGTGGGAGTCACTGTTGCCATACGCCGAGTTCGCGTATAACAACAGCTATCATTCCTCCATTCAGATGGCTCCTTACGAGGCACTATATGGTCGCAAGTGTCGTTCCCCTCTCTATTGGGACGACGTTGGAGAGCGGCAAGTACTCGGTCCTAAGATGATCGAGGAGACAGCAGAGCAGGTCGAGTTGATCCGGCAGAGACTCAAGACAGCCCAGAGTCGACAGAAATCTTCCGTCGATCATAATCGACGAGACATTCAGTTTGATGTTGGCGAGCACGCCTTTCTCAGAGTTCGTCCGGTTCGCGGAGTTGTGCGATTCGGCAAGAGAGGGAAGTTGCACCCTCGTTTCATCGGTCCGTTTGAAGTTCTCGAGCGAGTAGGCGAGGTCGCGTATCGTCTAGCCCTACCTCTCGAGTTATCAGGCATTCACAATGTATTTCACGCATCTATGTTGCGTAAGTACGTGTGCGACCCCGATCACGTCATCCCTCATGCGGATATTCAGGTTCAGCCAGATCTGTCGTACGAGGAGCGACCGGTAGCTGTACTAGACCGTCATGTTCGTCGGCTCCGGAAGCGAGATATCCCCCTCGTGCGCATTCAGTGGGATCGTTGCGGAGCTACTTGGGAGGAAGAGTCTGACATTCGCGCTCGTTTTCCAGATTTCCAGTTTTGATGTACATATTTCCTTATCTTATGTACATAGTTCATGTATAACAGTCATGTTTTGAATTTCCGAGGACGGAAATTTTGTAAGGAGGGAGGATTGTAATA